CTCAGCACTCAGCTCCCCTCCTTGGCTGGTGGGAACCTCACCTGCAAAGGAGAAAAAGGGCCCAGAAGGGCTCTCTGAAGCCAAGGCCAGCTTCGCTGTTCTCCTCCTCTCCTCTCCGCAGGGTGTGCAGGGACGCTGGGGTGCTCTGCCTGGGGGGGCCAGCAGGGGAGCAGCCTTTGCTTTTCCTCCTGTGTTTTATGAGCCCACATGTGCGGTGCATGCCGACTCACTCCTCGTGGGGGTGGGTGCTCGGCCACAGCACATCTGGATTCTTTTTACGTCCCCTCCCCTCCGCCCTCCTTGCGTCGAGAGTGAATGCCAGAGTCTAAGGTGGCTTTGACGCCTTTGGTGAGCCTGTCCAGCACCCCAACAAACTCTGTCTCCTTTTGTTTGTGTTTTAGGGGACAGGTTTTGTTGCCTCCTCGGCTTGCTTGAAAATTTCTCTTGACTCAGATTCAATTTCATTTAATGCCCTGGCAAACAGACAGCTTAATTTCTCCCAGTGTTCCCAACAGGAATGTGTGCACGGGGTTTTTATTTTTCTGAGGTTGTCGCCATCACTTTTTTGGCATCTAGACGACATATGGTGAATCAAAGCTTTAAAATACGTCATTGTTAGGCAATTTAGACCCAAACTCTGAGAGCTCATCTAAAAGAAAGAATGGGTAAAAGAAAGGAGAGAGAATACCATGGGGAGTCATGCGGTGAAAGTGAAGAATCACAAAACGTGTTTTATTGGTGTTAATGACTTTGTTTTGTTAACCAGAGACACCAGCAACACATGAGGCTTCCTGCCGAGTCACACAGGACACACAAGGAAGACTCGGCGCTCAGACTTGATCATTAAGGGGGAGGACCGGAACGTGTGAGGCTGTAGTTCTCCTGAGCCCGGAACAGTAACGATGGATGAGTCCTGTCAGTATTCGAGAAAGAATAAAATATACAAAAAAAATTAAGAAAACCCCAACAACAACAAAATCAACCACCCACGCTTAAAGAGTGGCTCCATTTTACCTGAAGACTGTGAGCACCTGGGTTAATAATCTGTTTGAATATAGAACCTCTTTCGAGCTCCTGGAGCACAGCCCACAAGCAAGTTATGATTCTTCCAAAACTAAGAGGACGGGGGCCATGGGGGAAGGAATCACAGCGAGGGACACTGCGTCCTTGAGCAAAGCGAGAGGAATGAGGGAATCTGGGGCACAGCCAGGGACGAGCCCTGCTTTCATCCTGAGAAGGTGGCACAAGTTGGACAAACTGGGCTTCCGCTGCGGGGACCTTACAGGACACAGGGACAGCAAAACAGCTCGGGCTTGGCTGGCACGGGTAATGCCGCACTGTACACGGAGGGGCAGCATCGTCACCCAGCCAGACGCGGAAACCTGCCCTGTGCGAGCAGTCAGAAGATCGTGTGGCGCGGGCACAAGATACAGGGACCAGGGGAACCGAGCCAGACTTGGCAGATGTGGAACTGGGCTAGGGATGGAGAACATGGACAAACGAGGAAAGGTGGGTCGTGCAGCAGATGGTGGCAGAACATTTGGGAACTGTACAGAAAAGACGTGAAACAGAAGCACTGCTTCACATCTGACACCAAAATCCACTCCTGGTCTTCAGTGAGAACATTAAGTTTTAGGAGACAAATGAAAGGATATCTTTGTATCTTTGAGTAGAAATGAATTTCCTGAGCAGATTTCTGCTAAAAGCAGAAATCAAAAGGTTTTCGGCACTTTCCTCCAATTAAAACTTCAATTCTGCGAAACTAGCATAAAGGGAAAGGGGTCCACATCTGGGAGAGCACATTTATAAAACATGAATCTACAAGACAATGTCATAGGGTCACCTCCAGCCACATGTGGCTCTTTTCATTAAAATCAAGTAAAACAAGATTTAATTACTTTAGACACATTTCAGGCAAGCAGGAGTCACCAGAGGCCACAGCCACTCTACCGGACGTCACCGATACCGAGCGCTTGCATCCGCACCAAAAGCTCCATGGGTACCGCCGATCTAGACCATGGACCATATTGCTAAAATAGGCAACTCGATTACAAATGTCAACGGGGTGTCAAAAGACATTTAACAGAACAATGAAACAAACCTTCACCAAGATGTACTACAAACAGCCAAAGTCATTTCAATCCCATCAGGAATCAGAACAAAACAAACTTAACTCCTCAGACCCACTTTAGACTCTCGACTCAGCAAGACTGGAAGGGAAACCCGGGCGTGGTGGTGCGCACCTGCAGTGCCAGCTATTCGGGCTGAGGCAGGAGCTGAAGTTCAACCTGGACATCAGAGCACAGTCCCACGTCAAGGAAGAAATCAGAGTGTGCTGACTACTGAAGAAGACAGATCAGCAAATCTCGGGAGAGCATCTATCTAGTCATGTTAAAGGCTGGGAGCCAGAGATCCTACCGCAGAGAAGAGACTGTCCACCTGGGCTAACCATCGTCCCAGCTTCGACACACACATGCAACACACACCATCCTTCCTGCACTGAGCAGGAGGCCAGCGATAGTAACGTTCTACTGTGAAAGCCAGACACAGTGGTGCTCGCCTGTTATCCCAGCACTGAGGGAGGCTGAGGCAGGAGGATTACAAATGTGAGTCTCACCCGGGCAACTTGGTAAGACCCTGTCTCAAACTAAGAATAAATCTGGGGAATAAATACACATAAAATAAACTGATACATTAAAAAATGCAAGAGAACGGCTAGCGAAAATCAGAATAAGGTTAAGTCTGGGAGAAGCAGGGCAACCCCCCCTCTTCCGCTTGACTGTGTCTGGTGATATTAAGTCTTTAGCTGATGACAGGGTGAGATGTCCATTTTAATGTACCTTTGTATTCCATACTTACATGTTTTGTGCATCTCTCTGCATTCTGATACGTTTCACAATTTTTTAAAAAGCCCGTTTCGTTACTTCCTAGTATTTCTTTGTTTTGTTTTCTTGACCTCAGTCTTATTATGTGCAGTTTTAAAGTAAACTCTGTCAAATTAAAAACGCAGGCAACATACATTTATTTGAGTCAAACTGATTTCAAAAACCAGCTCCCTCAGCAGTCCTGAGACCCTCTGGGCCTTGGTTTTGGTTCCCTCATCCCCGGGAGGACCGTCTCTTTCCGTACTGGACAAACATCACCACGATAGACACAGAAATGGCTTCGCTCCGGGCTTGACTGACAGCTTCAATTTTAAGCAATTATTATTTAATTTTTTAAAAGTTTGGAACTTCAGGCTTCCTAAGCAGGCAAGTAAGGCAGACAGAGGAAACAAAACAGCTTTCACACTTAAAAGCAGCTCCAGGAAGAAGGCACACTGTATCTGTGACTTCAAGGAAAGAGGCAAAGCTGATAGCCCTGGATCGGTTTCTTTCAAATGTTATCAAATGGCCTCTGGTCGCCTAAGAAGTCTCCTCAACTATGCTTTGCACAGAACTCTTCTTCCATCAACACTCCTGATTTAATGACCCTAAAGTGCTTGCTAGCTTCCTGGAATAAAAACAAGTCAGGAATTATGAAGCTCAGACTTGGAGCAGAAAACCACATTGTACTCACCACAATTTCAAGTCATTAGTTTAGAAGAAAAATATAAAGCTAAGCAAAACAGCATGCAGAGGACTACTTTAAATTTAACCTGCAGAAGCCAATAGAAATGTCAATGTCTATAAACAGGAAATGCTGAGCTTCAAGATTAAGCCACAATAATTTATTATAAATAAATATTCTATAAATAACTTCACCCTCCTGACGCTTGCAAAGCGTTTCCTTCTTGTGTAGCACCACTTAAGAGCCAATTAAACTCAAGCTGTTCTCCATGAGTAAAGTAAGGGCACGAACTGAGAGAGTTTAAGCTGTACATTTTCCTATAACCGTCTTTGTTTTGCGGACGCGAGCTGCTACAGTCTGCTTCTTAGCTTGGTTCCGTTCTGTTTTGTTTTCTCACTTAAGTTTCAGACCTGGCTTCAAGTTACCGGCTGACGGTCACATTCGGTAATGAAGTTGGTGGATTAGCTGAAATTAAAACCGACTCCTTTTTACCACGCTTGTTTTCAAGCCCACATCAATTATTTATGGCCCAGCTCACCGACACTGTGCTTTAATTTAGGAGGCCGTCTATTTGAAGCCTGCTATAAATAAAGTAAATAGAATCTGGCCTCAAAACTGCTCCACTCCACACAGCTCTGAGAGGAGACGAAGAGGGAAGGAGCAAGGGGAGAATAGAAGAAAAGAAGAGCGGAAGAGAGCAGAGAAGCCAGCAACCATGGAGGCGCCTCCAGGCCAGAGGCGTCCACACAAATGACTTCATTTTACTCTCGGTTAATGGGACACTGCTTGCTTCTTACAACCTCCCAGGGCAGATGTTATGAGGCCCTCACTCAAGACGGGGAAACGGCCATCCTCTTTTGGGGATACACATCTGTAAACCCAGCTACTCAGACAGCTGAGGTAGGAGCAGCACAAGTTCAAGGCCACCCTGGGCAACTTGCTGAGATTCTGTTTTCAAAATAAAAGAAAAAGAGCTCAGGGGCAGAACCTTTGTCTAGCATACGCAGGGCCCTGGTTCAATTATCAGGACCAAAAAAGACACAGGAAAGGAAAAGGGCTGGACAACTGCAACTGCACAGGGGTAAGCTGTTTACCAGGGTCACAGAGCAAAGGGGAAACAGTGAGACAGCTTTCAAATAGGCCTGGGCTACCTTTGGTGAAATAATTTTCAACATTTTTAGCTTTAGGATGTTTAGGGATTTCAAAACAAAAAGGAATTAAACATTCTCAAGATATATATCACGACCAGCAGAAAAACATCCATGTAATTATCTCAAGGCTTCTGAGAACTGCAAGAGTAAGAGCGTTGCCGTTAGGGACAAAATGTAGCTGAAGGTATTGAAAAACAGCACAGAAGGTGTCCAGCTGAGGCCAGGGGACAGGAGGAAGCCCCATGGGGCCCAGACGAAGCCTGCGATCTCAAGGCTCCACGGCGGATCCTGGCTTCTTACCTGTTGAACTTCGCTCTCTCCGTTGGAGACTTTCTCCGTGTAAACAAAGGAGTTGAATATCCGCTACAAGGAAAAGAGAATGGACAAATGTTAGATTTCCCAAACCAGACAGTCATTTCCTATATTTGTGAGGGAATACTTTGTTGGATAAAACACAAATAGAATCAAGTAGAAAAAATTTAATTAAAGTACAGTGATTTTACAGAAACCCAAATATCATCAACCAGAGTCAACCACACTTATATAAGCACTACCCAGGCGCTTCTGCAGTGAAATAAACCAGATGTTACACTACGTTTTTCATTTTCAGAAATACATTTAATTATAGATTTCCAGAGCCCATGCTATTTTATCCAACTGGTGTAATCTGACGAAGTTGTGCTTCTCATTTAAATCCTGTACTCCCTGCATGCTGTTTAGACAGTAAAATCTAATGCAATGCAGCTCTTTGAAAGGGTTCTTTCATACTCTCTCGAGTTCCTCTGCAGCCAGGACCTACCCAGTGTTACTCATCACCTGTCACTCGAGCCAGGTCCCTCAGGAGCTGGCGTGACGGGGCTCGCAGGTGTGGGAGGCCTGAAGGGGATCCGTTCCCAATGGGCCAAGGGTGGCACCCAGCACCCACCTCCTCCCTGGGCTCTGCCTACCTCACCCTTCCTCACCTATCCTGCATGAGCAATCCCAAGAGGTGAGCACGGGACAGAGGAAAAGGTGAGACTCCAAGGGATGACTCTCTTAGGGGAGGAGCAGCCTCATCATTTACCTTCAAGCCTTCAGGCGCCCACTGAACTCCAAGATGGGGAAGGAGTCAGACCGGGAGACAAAACCAGAAGATCATTCATGTGGTGCACAGATCAATGGCACCCGAGTACAGGGCTCTACTCCAGAGCTCTCAGGGTTGTCTTGTCATCAAGGGACATCGGGATTCTGCATCCTGAAACGTCTCATTTCGGAAGAGGATTGTGAACCCACACATGTGCATTGTTATGGCTCTGAGTCCCAGGTCTCGAGTGGCCAGGCCAAGATCATTACCAGCCCTGCTTTTCAAAACTGCTCAGCACCGGGGGCTGGGGATTTAGCTCAGCGGCACAGCGCCTGCCTGGCAAGCGCAAGATCGTGAGTTCGATTCCCAGTATCGGAAAAAAACCAAAACGAAAACGAAAACCAAAAAAAAAACCTGCTCAGTACCAAGTAGGTTTTTATTCAACATTAACATGATTCCTACAATGACTCCACATCTTGATGACTGCAGTCAATTGCTTGCTCTGTTTTAGCAGTGACAGCCCCGTGGACATGCCCCTGGTCCGACCCAGGGAGGTGACAAAGACGCCAGCGCTGCCCCTGGCCCACTGCACTCCAGCCAAAGCCTTGAAGGTCAGATCAGATACTTCCTTCTCCTTATGTTAAGAGAGAGGTGAATTCCTCGGAAGGAATAAAGAGCTCGTGCCAGGGAAGGACGGCTCAGGAGGCTGCTTCAATTCCTACTTGACTTATTATCTTAACAGTAATGATGGCTAATAGTTTTATGTAGACTATTTTATGGGCTGTAAACACTTTTACAACCTCTACACCTAATAAATGTGGATGAATAAAAGAAAAATTTAAATGTGATCTAGACATTCTCAATGTGAGGATGGCGATTCTATAGAAGTGAAGGGTGGCCTGGTAGGGCCATAGTTTGAGCTGTCACTAACAGTTTTGCAGAGCCCTCTCCATCCCTGTACTGGGGGTGTCTGGGGGTGTTACAGCTTTGGCTACCACCTGGCGCGAGGCAAAAGGTCAGTCTCATGCTTGCACACGAGACCTCAAGATCAGCTGAATTCCCACTGCGTGTAGGTCAAGGGACTGGAATCACCTTTCATAACTTGGGGCCTGCAGAGCTCAGCCTGTGAACATTCAGTACTTTTACAGCTCACAATTTCAGAAGAATCATTGCATTTGATCCTCCCGACAACCATTTGTGGTAAGCAGGGAAGGGATGCGAAACCGCATTTTATAGCTTCAAAACCTTGAGCCCAAAACTTAGAAAACATATTTCAGGTCAAAAATTGAAATTTGAGGCCGGAACCTAGGTCCTGAGTTAAAAACAGGCAATGCTTTTAGCTGAACTATTGAATTTATTTGCATTGCCTTTTTGTTCTAGAGCGCTTAGGAATTCTAATACCTGTATGTAAAAAATATTTTTAAAAACTTGAAAAAGAAGATTTGGGCTTTTTCTATTTTAAACAAGGTACTATGTCAGGAGCAATTCAAGAGTCCAAGCGCAGGTTTTATTTTTATACTTTCTATTGCTATGTGAAATTATAGAAAGAAAAAAAAAAAACACAACACTAGAGGTTGTTTTTGGGGAGGAAGGTCATGTGAAAGCCAGGAACTCAAAATTATGGAACCTTGCTGACATTTTGGTGACCTTGAAGTAAAGACTTTCTTGGATATTAGAAGACTTGAAGGATGGAAATGGAAAAGTTCTCTTACAATGTGAAAATGAGGGGCAATCCTGACAGGTGGGACCCTTCGGTTCCCTCCCGTGGGGACACAGGAGCTGCATTTCAGCCAGGAGAAAAGGTGTCATCCAGCCCAGGGTTCCAAACACACCAATGCAATTTAATCAGATCTGCCCTTTGGACATCCCTGGCTTTTATTTCCTGAGCACGACCTCCCCACCTGCTCCCCACAAGAGCATGTCCAGTTCAAACTGATGGTTCAGTCAGTGCTGGTGTCTCCTGCCTGCACTCGGCTGAGAAGGGGTGGAGGACACTCCGTGTGTGTGTGTGTGTGTGTGTGTGTGAGACCCCTGTTCCCTCACCTCCCTCTGCCCTCCATGATTTACCCTTCCGACCCCATCTCTCCATCTGTCTAACCAAGCCTGCACAGAGCCACAAAAGGACTTCATTCCAGTCAGCCTCCCCTCCATGCCTCCCACACCTCTACCAGGGTTCCCGCCAGGGTTCAAGGCCCCTCGTGCAGACAGCACCTCAAGCAGACAGCTCTGCGAGGAAACGAGGTTACACTGGCCCCACCCCTAATCTTTGCTAAGAAAATGCGGGCTGACTTTTGACTCAAAGTGTCTCTGCCACACGCCCAGGGGCCACCAGTGGTTCCCTGGGTCTCCATGCCGCTTCCAGTCTGACAGAATCGGGGCCAAAGAGAAGGAGCACAGGGTTCACGTGGTCAGCTGTAGACGCGCACCGATGCTAAATGACAGAGTGCTGTCCTCTTCACAAACTTCAAAAGGCAGTGGACCGGGACGGCTCCTAGCATCACTACTGTAAGAGCCTGACCTCGAGAGCCCAGTGCTATGGCAACCAAATCGTGGTAAATCCAGCGTGCGCACGTCGCGGACTATTCAGCGAGGAGAACAGGCAACGGCAGCCCACACTGACATGAAGATTCCTCACCAGCATCGTACTGAGTGACGCAGGCAGACAGCGGGAGACACACGCATGATCTCGAGGGCAACTTCACTGGAGTGCTCCGGGGAAGGACACCAACGCATGACTTTAGTCTCCACCAAGCACACCCCCTGACGTCTTCCACCAGGTCCAGGGCTCCCTCCTGCTCCACTGGGCAGGGTCCAGTTTCCACCGGATCGTTCAACCCCACACTGTCAGGCACACCGAAGGCCTGGGAGGCGTGACTCTTCCGAGGAGGCGGATCATCTGCATTCTGAGGTCACAAACCCACTGCCATCAATCACAGCCACTCATTTAATCTCTGAGCTCATGTGTTCTGACGACAGGTGCCTCGAAATAGCAAGAGCACTGGAAAGGTTACCGCCAGCAGGACAAACTGCAAGTAACAGAAATACCCAACGACAAGGGACCGACTAAACAATTCATCCCATCAAAGGAGTATTGTCTAGCTCCTGAAAGTATGTTTATATATGCATTATTGTTTAAATTTTAATAGCAGCATTTAAATATGCAAATATTTTATTACGTCTATGTGCAGGTAAGCCACACATGATCATGTTATCATGCATGTTACAAGCACCTGGGAACCCAAGGCCTACATTGTACACATGAGAACACTGAAGTTCTGAGATGTTAATTTCCCCCCAAAGTTGCCCATTAATGAATACCTATGGCCACGTCTGGGTTTGAAATTGGCCTTACTTAAAGCTGGGGGCATAGTCATCAAGGCAAGGATCACCTTCCGAGGGAAAACTTCGGTAAAATCAAGAAATTGACCAAAATAGTGACAGAGACTGCCTGTGAATAATGGATCAAAACTGTATTTTCTTTCCTTCCTCCTCCCAGCTTGACACTGAACACACCCTTCCTTTCTACTGGAAAAGGACAGAGACTCAGGGGTAGGACTTGAGTCTCCAAAGAACTGTTTTCCCAACATCATCACCTCCAGGGAGAAGAAACTCAAGCACTGATGTTTGACCCTTACCATAAAAACCAGACCTTGAGTACCACAGTGCTTGGCAGGAGATGGGCTGTTCCAGTTTGATAGCAAAGGGAAACGCTTGCTTCTGACAACCATGGCCACGGAAGAGGCCCACACCAGGAAATTAAAAACTAATCAGTGACACAATAGATGGCCTTGTACAAATCAAGAGGCACCCCATGTACACAGGACCCAGCCCTGCGGACTTCCTGATTTTGTGGCAAGGTTGCTACAAATAACGCTAATGGCTCATGCATAAGCACTTACTGGCTGCCAGGAGCTGCGCACCTACACAGTCATTCACATCCCTCGTAAGTGTGAAGACGAACTGACACAGCAAGCACTCAAAACGTACAAACATACTGAACGCACCGTGCCAGCTCTTCTGCTGCGATTCTATTCTACCACAGTTTGTCTTTTAAGAACAGTCTCTTAATGATAGTTATTTTATGAGTATTAGAAATGTAGGGAAGAAAAAATACTTCCGCACAGATATTTAACAGTTTAGGTCCCACGCCTCTGTTGGACGCGATACTGATGGTAATTTCTCCCTTCCATAAACTTTAGTGGCAAAGCCTGTCTGCGAGCAGGGCATGGAGGGGTACACCTGTAATCCCAGACAGGGTTGTCTCAAAAAATAAAAAAGACTCAGAGGTAGAGACCCCTGG